GCCGGAGCCAGCTTGGAGCCAGGGAAACACGGTTTACATGAAGGCAAATCATAAAGTTGTCTGTTCAAAGCTTGACTGCATCTGTGAAAACATTCACCTGATTTGGAATGTTTTAATTAATTTCATGTGAAATTTATATGTGAGATGCTGTAAATAAAATATCAGAAGCTGTGAGATCTGCATATGTTTAGGGACTACAAGCATCCATCAGTCTATGTAAACCGAGCTGCACACCTGAAGGACTTAGTTTCTAGATAATATGATCTTAAATGGCCCCTCAAAAAACTGCTAGAGAAATGTTTACTCGGCCTCCGTGCCATTCAGCAGCTTTTTAACTTAAAAAACAACAACTTGTGATTCACTTGAAAGTCTAAATAAAACACAAGTAACTGAACCACTTTGAATCAGACTGCTGATCTCCCCCTCTCGCCTCCTCTGTTCACTCACCAGGTGAAAACCTGTTTGGGGTTGAATTCTCGGATCCTCAGCAGGAGTCTGCTCCTTTTGTTCATTTCGCTGGTGTTCCTGGACGAATCCTCGGACCGTTTAGCAACCGTGTCGTCTCACCAGTGATGGAGGATTGAGTCCTCTCTTTAAGCTTTTAGCTCCTCCACCTTCACGGTATCAGAGCTGAATGATTAACAGCCTCAGAGGGCAAAGATTACTCCGTCACTTATAGCCTGAGGACACTCTGCCTCACTGCAAAGCAAAATATATTTGCATATTTAAAAAAAAAAATCCAAGACAAAATCTCACAAATTTCTGAAAAGGACAGTCCTAAACTTAGAAGAACAAATTAACAAATTTACAATATTTCTATCATCACAATTACTTTACACATTCTGTTAATCACAATACAACACCCAGTTTGGAAAAACCTGCCTCTGAATATCCCAGTAAAGACTGATCAAGTGTTCTGTGTATTTATGTGTAATATGGCATATAAAGATTTCATTTTACTGCAATAAAGTGTTGCTATGCATGTCATAAATTTGAGCATTAATCTCAGGCGTTCAGCACGGGTGTCACCTGTTCTGCAGAGCAGCATGGTGGTGTAGGTGACAGTCAGCAGGAGGTAGTTCAGGAAACTCTGCAGCAT